AAACCCACACCACGCCCACCCGCCCACGCGCCCACACCAACGAAAACCCACACCCTTCAGAATCCCGAAAACCCTTACGCAGCAGCATCGAAGGCGGCTTCAATCCTGCTCGCGATCTCATCCAAGCCACGGACGCTGAGGATGAAGTACAGCTTGAACACGTCCACCTTCCTCCCGCACTGGAAGCTCTTGTCGCCCACGTCGTAGCTCACGTCGTAGAACTTGTCTTGTTGGAAGAGGTAGGACGCGCGCGCGGAGTGGCAGGCGTCGAGGAGGCCCTGGGAGGCGGGGAGGGGGAAGGGGAAGGGGAGGAGGAGAGGGAGGAGGGGAGGAGGGAGGAGGAGAGGAGGAGGGAGAGGAGGAGGAGGAGGAGGAGGAGGAGGAGAGGCGGGGGAGAGGAGGAGAGGAGGAGGAGGAGGAGGAGGAGGAGGAGGAGGAGGAGGAGAGGAGGGGAGAGAGAGAGGAGAGGAGGGAGAGGAGGAGGAGGAGGAGGAGGAGGAGGAGGAGGAGGAGGGAGGAGGAGGAGGAGGAGGAGGAGGGGGAGGAGGAGGAGGAGGAGGAGGAGGAGGAGGAGGCGGGGGAGGGGAGGAGAGGAGGGGGGGAGGGGAGGGGAGGGAGGAGGGGAGGGGAGGGGGAGGAGAGGGGGGGAGAGGAGAGAGGAGGAGGAGGAGGAGGAGGAGGAGGAGAGGAGGAGGGGAGGAGGGGAGGAGGAGAGGAGGAGGAGGAGGGGGAGGGAGAGGGAGGGGGAAGGGGAGGGGAGAGGCGGCGCGGGGAGAGAGAGAGGAGGAGGGGAGGAGGAGGAGGAGGAGGAGGAGGAGGAGGAAGAGGAGAGGAGGAGGGAGGGGAAGGGAGGGGAGAGCGGGCGCGGGGGATGCGGAGGGGAGAGAGGAGCGGAGGGGGAGCGGCGGCGCGGTCAAAGAGAAATAGATCAGTGAGGGAATTTCTCTGTTGTTCAATTAACCCGCGAGGTTAAAGAGAATAAAATTGTTGGAGAACTTTCTTTATTATAACTTATCTTGCGGGGTTTGAGAGAAATAGATAAATTAAGAATACTCTATCATTAATTGCGAGGTTAAAGGAAGAAAAAAAAAACAAATAAAATCACCGAAGAAATATCTCAATTATCAATCAACCATATAATATAGCAAGATTAATAAATGAATACATGTGTGTATACATGAATGTAGAATCAAGTCTCCACTATGTAAATACCTTGTGGCGAGTGAGGAACACGGAACACTGGAGAGGAACGCACAGCATCTTGTGGGGGTTCCATGCGATCGAGTCTGCCCTGAAGAAGAGAGCGCCGGGACAAAAGGTGATGAATGAGGAATAATGGCGATGCTAGTACGTACGATGCGGCAAATAGAAGTGACAATAACGATGATAGTCATAGTGATGGCAGCTCTACTACTTCGATAACTATAACGACTACTAACATTAATAATAATAACAATAATCAGTAATTAATAGTGGCAATAAATAGCAATCAATAATTATACTAACAAAGATAATAATACTGACATTATACAAATAAAATATCATACCTATAATGTTTTAAAAAATGCGAAAGATGAAAGATAAAGATAACGAAATTATCTGCACCATAATCCGTGATAACTATGGTAGCCATGGTGATAAAGAGAAGCATAACCCCCCAAACAGTGAATATGAAGAAGAAAACAATAACAACTCATACGAAAGAGTAACAACCAATATGGAAAAGTAACAATAAACAGACATAGGATAAAGAATATAACAAAATACACAAAATAAAAAAAAACGCACAATGATATACATGAAAAACGATACACATAACTGATGCAAATAACCATAAAAACAAACAAACAAACAACTGAACACACCAAAAAGAATAACAAACGATACACCTAAAACAAATCTGAATATAATTAACCCCAATTAAACACAATAGATAATTCGGTAATTAGAGATTAGAAAGAATTACCTATGAATTCCATCGAGAAAGTGTTTCAGTCTCTCTGAAAATATTGCACAGCCGCCTACACAAGCCTGGAATGTAAATAAAGGTTATTGAGTTATTATCTCTTTGTAGATCTACTCTTGAAATTAATTACCGTAATTAACAGTAGTTGACGTTACTGATTTTGTTATTCTTTGATCATCATCCCTTGTTCTTGTTATAATCATTATCAATCATTATCATCAACATCATCATCTTCATCATCTCCATCTTCATCATCATCATCTTCATAATCTTAATCATCATCTTCATCGTCATCATCATCTTCATTACCATCATCATCATCTTCATCATCATCTTCATTATCATCATCATCACCATTATTATTACTAATATTACTGTTTCTACTATGATGATGAAAACGATAATAATGATAATAACAATAATGAAAATTATAATAATGATAATGATAGCAATGATAATAATAATAATGATAAAAGTAATACTAATAATAATGATAATGATAATAATAATAACAATGATAATAGTGATAATATTAACAAATGATGATGATGATGATAATGATGATAATAATAATAACAGCAACAACAACAACAATAATGATAATAGTGATAATAATAATTAAAAAATAATAATAATAATAATAATAATAATAATAATAATAATAATGGTAATAACAATAACAACAATAATAATCATAACAATAACGATAATCATAACAACAATAATGATAATAATAATAACAATATTAGCAATATTAATAATAAGTAACATTAGCAACAACAGCAACTATGACAACAACCACAGTAATAATAATAACAAAAACATTAATAACACCGGCATATCAATAATAATGATACTATTACTACTAGTACCAGTAATAATAATAATAACAATAATAATGATAATGATAATAATAATAATGATGATATAATAATAAAAAAGAAAATAATAATAATAAATAATATAATAATAACAATAGTAATAATAACAATAATAATAATAATAATAATAATAATAATAATAATAATAATAATGATGATGATGATGATGATGATGATGATCATGATGATGATGATGATGATGATGCATATAATAATAATAATAATAATAATAATAATAATAATAATTAATAATAATAATAATAATAAATAATATAATAATAATGAAAAAGATAATGATAGCAGCAACAACAATCATAATAACAATAATAGTGATGGTTATAATAATAATAATAACAATAATGGTAATAATAATAGTAATGATAACAATAATAATATCAATAATAATAATAATAATTATTATTTATTATTATTATTACTGTAATAATAGAAAAAAAATTTGGCGAGGATGGTGGTGATGTAATGAATATAATAATGATAATAATAATGACAGTTATTATAATCATTATCATTATCATAATCATTATTATAACAGTAATAACAGTAATGATGTTAATGACAATGATAAATGTGTATCACCACCATCTCCATCATCACATCACCACCGTCCTCACCACCACCCTTAACCCTCCCTCCTCCTCCCCTCCCCCTCCCCCTCCCTTACTCACATCCGCGTGCAGCCAGAGTCCCTCCAGACTGCAGATGTCGGCGAGTTCCTCCAGCGAGTCGTAGGCCCCCAGGACGGTGCTCCCGCAGGTGGCGCAGACGAAGAACGGCTCCTTGCCCTCCTCCCGCGCTCGCTTCACGGCCTTCTTCAGCTCCTGCGGCATCATGCGCCCTACGGAATCGGTCTTGACCTGGACCACGTTATCTAGGCCTAAGCCCATGGTGACGGCGGCCTTCCTGATCGAGTAGTGGCTCTGAAATCGAGGGGGGGGGGTCTTAGTGGCGGGTTTGGCGGTTTTGGCGAGCTTGGGTTTTTTGGCGGGTTTGGCGGTATTTCGTCCAGCGAAATCATTACTTTTACTATAATTTCTATTGTTATTGCTATCATTATTATCCTCATTATCATCACTATCATTATCGTCATCATCATTTCATTATCATCATCATTAAACAATCATTATCATTATTAGTATCAGTATCATCATTATCATCTTATCATTATCAATATCAGCATAATTGCTATCACCTTTGCCATAATCATGATCCTTGTTCTCTAACTGATTACCATCATTTTCACAGATCACGTGATCTCCCTATATTCACCAGTTATTATCATTATTCTTTAACTAATTATCATTGTCACAGGTCACGCGGTCTCCCTATATTCACCACAGTCATTATCATTATTCTTTAATTAATCATCATTGTCACAGGTCACGTGGTCTCCCTACATTCACCACAATCATGATCATTATTCTTTAACTATAACCCTTTTCCCAGGTCACGTGGTCTGCCTCACCTGGTCTGAAGTGAAGGCGACAAGAGGCTTCAGGCTAAATATTCCAGACTGCTTGATTTCAGGGTGAAGTTTGTATCTCGCCAACAGCATGGCGTGTAAGTTGCTTATGCTGCCACCTGGCGGGAGTTGAAAGAAGTATGTTTTAGGGGAATGGAAAAATGGGGGTAGGCCTACATGTTTGTGATGTATGGAGTGTCATTGTCTCTTTCTTTATTTATTTATTTCTCTCTTCACTCCTCTGTCTCTTTCTCTTAAAGCATCCTTCATAATTCCTTCTTTCATTTTTACTCCCGCTTTCTCCCTTTCTTTCTCTTCCTTCATCCTTTTCCCCTTTCTTCTTCTACTTTCCCTCCTCTTCTTTGTTTTTCCCTTATTACACTCCCCTTCTCTCCCTCTTCCTTTCTTCATTTTTCATTTCTGCTTCTCCTCACCCGTTTTTTCTACCTGGGCCTTTCTGCTTCTCCCCTCCTCCCTCCTTCTCACCCCCCCTTTCTCCTTTTCCACAATCATCCTTTTTTTCCCCCTCTCCTTTCATCTCTTTTTCACCTTTTCATTTCCTCTCCCTCCTCTTCCTTTTCCCCTATCATATTCCTCCTCCTCTCCCCCCTCCTTCTACCCTCTCCTTTTCCTCCTCCTCCTCCTTCTCCTTTCTCCTCTCCTCCTCCTTCTCCTTCCTCTTCCTCCTCCTTCTTCTCCCCCTCCTCTTCCTCCTCCCCTTCTCTCCCCTCTCCTCCTCCTCCCTCTCTCCCCCCTCTCCTCTTCCTCCTCCTTCCTTCCTCACCCGGAGCGAAAATTCCGTCCGCTTGGTCATAGCCGAAAATCGATCCCAACTTGGCGAGGACAAACCGCTCCATGAGGATGAAAACGGGAGACACTTCATAGGTAATTCTACGAATAAAAAAAGGGAGATAAAAGTTTATATAATTGTTATTGGACACTTCATAGGTAAGTCTACGAATAAAAAAAGAGAGAGAAACGTTTATATAATTGTTATTGGACACTTCATAGGTAAGTCTACGAATAAAAAAAGAGAAAAGTTTATATAATTGTTATTGGACACTTCATGGGTAATTCTACGAATAAAAAAAGAAAAAAGTTTATATAATTGTTATTGGACACTTCATAGGTAATTCTACGAATAAAGAGAGAAAAAATGTGTCATTGTTATTGGATACTGAATTATAATCGTGGTGTAGAATCTGAAGTGACAGACTGATAGATATCAATGGCATAAATATTCTTAATTCAACTGATAAGGCTTATTAAGGTTATGATATTTTAGCTAGGACTGTATAAAAGAAACAGAAGTTGTTGAGACAGATCTATATAAATATATGGTTATGTTTTTATTATGTTGTTATTAGTTATTATGTTTCTAGCAGACAAATTTGACTTCAAACGTGGTCTAAACATTTATTCTACGATTATGATAATATCAGTTAACTGCTATTGGTCAGTATGGTTCATTAGATAAATCTGAAATATAACTGGATTTAAGATTTAAGCGACCATGATAGATAAACAAAACATCAATATGGCTACTTTTGGCTAGTTTTAATTCACTGGCTGTTGATTATTTTAGTTATGATTAGATAAAGGTTGAATCATACTCCTAGATTAGATAATTCTGCAACAATGAAGACAAATATCAGTACAGATTATGATGAAATTTTATTTTTTGGATCCATTTCTTCTACACTTGTCTCCAGAACAAAGTAGTTTCGTCCAGAATTTCTAGGACCTGATATAGCCTTCTGATTTTTTTCGTTATCTTTTTTTCTGTATTCCGTTATTTATTGATTTGTTTACCTCTCTTTTCTTAGAAAGGGAGACGGCTTAATCGTATGACGTCAGATATCGACCGAAATTGGACCTTATAAACCGTATATCTTTCAGATGGCGTCTATTTGACGATTGGGGCAATATAACGAATGTATTTTGTTATTGAATATCGGATGAACTTGGATGCTAAGTCACTGGTATTGCAGGTTTATAGAAGATCCATTGATAAGCACGTATTCCAATATATATTTGTATTCACTTATCCATTTCCAGAAGGCTTCACACTCAATTAATTACTTTACTCTCATTTTTACTTTGTTTTTCATCAAGAGGTGCATCATAATTCTTAAACGATACGAACTGCAGCAATAAAATAATCCGTTACAAGGCATGACCAAAAGTATCTTTTTATTCGAGGTTAGCGTAAACGATCATCAACAAAGCTATTATTATTTATTTAGTACAAGAATGAAAGGATGAACCGATCTAATAGTTTTGAAAAGCAAAATCAAACTGAGTCAGTCGCCAATTGAAGCAAGACCGGTTGGAACTCGATTAAAGGGTGCCATTGATTATGTAAACATTTGTAAGTGTGTACGTGCGTGTGTGTGTGTGTGTGTGTGTGCGCAAAGGTACATACATATCAATAAATGAATAGTATAGAAATCAATAAATCTATAGATAAATAAGTAAATATTTGTATTATACAGTTACTATCAGCACTGTTATTATTACTATTATCATTATCATGATTAACATATTTGTCATCATTCCTATTTTCAGTTTTATTGTTATAATGAACCAGTAGTTCACTTAATCATTAATTAACGACCTCGCGAGGGAATAACATAGATCAGGCGCTCAAAGGTACCTATGATAGTTGTAGAATGAAGTTAAATTTGCCTGTCACGGATTAGCCTCTAATTTCACCTTGTCACTTGTTCTTCGCGCGCGCAATCGTCCGAATGTCTTGCCGCGTCCCTCTTTTCAAATAACAGCCAATCAGAAAGCGTTATTAGTTTACAATATATACAGTACCTGTGTGAACTGTTCACTAATTGTACGAGAATAGTCAATTAACGTAAATATAGCCGCTCGGTCAAAAACGCTTATCATTTACTACCACTTAAGTTAAACTACGAGATTCGGATGCAGCTCTACAGTTATCATTATTATCATCATTTTCATAAAAGTATTTTGGGGTGTGTGAATGCCATATTCAGTTTCTCTCATCATTTATTCAATACTCAATTTCTCTATCGTTTTATTTAGACTTCAGAGAATGGATATAAAAAGATATATCGATCATAACATTTTCCTTCCTTCCAGATATATTTCTTTTCTTATCGTTTTTATTTCGTATTTTTTCATAAAGCGTTTGTGTGATAAATTTGATGAGAAAGACGATAGTGATTGTGATGAATTTGATGATAAAGACGATAGTGATTGTAATGAGTGCTAGACCAGAATATAGTGATATAATGATACTAATAGTAATTACGAAGATGATTGTGATTATGATAATGATATTGGTGATTACAATGATAATAGTAATAATTATAATAATGACTATAATAATAATGCTAATGCTAATAATAAAATAATAAATAATAACATACTTATTAATATGATTACTACTAATAATGACAATAATGATGATAATAAAGATAATGCTAATAATAATAATAATGCTAATGCTAATAATAATAATAATAAAATAATAATAATAATAATAATAATAATAATATAATAGTGATAATAATAATAATGATAATGATAATAATAATAATAATTAATAATAATAATAATAATAATAGATAATAATTAATGATAATGAACTTAATAATGATAAATGACGATATGATAATAATCATTCTTATTATTCATTATGACAATAATGATGATAATGACAATGCCAGTGGCGATAACTAACTCCATAGAATGATAAAAAAGCAATAGATAGGTAATAGATAAATAAATAAACAAAAATAAGTAAAACAATAAAAATAACAGCCAACCCAACTAAACCAATAACAATGTTATTAATGATGGCGATGATAATGTGATAATATTGAAAAAGATAATAATAATAATGATAATGCGATGGTAATAATGATATTCGGGTGATAANATTGTTATTGGACACTTCATAGGTAATTCTACGAATAAAAAAGAGAGAGAAGTTTATATAATTGTTATTGGACACTTCATAGGTAATTCTACGGATAAAAAAGAGAGAGAAACGTTTATATAATTGTTATTGGACACTTCATAGGTAATTCTACGAATAAAAAATGAGATAAAAGTTTCTATAATTGTTATTGGACACTTCATAGGTAATTCTACGAATAAAAAAAGAGAAACGTTTATATAATTGTTATTGGACACTTCATAGGTAATTCTACGAATAAAAATGGGAGATAAAAGTTTATATAATTGTTATTGGACACTTCATAGGTAATTCTACGAATAAAGAGAGAAAAAAATTATATAACTGTTATTGGATACTGGTTTATAATCGTGGTTTAGAATCTAAAGTGACAGACTGATAGATATCAATGGCATAAGTATTCTTAATTCAGCTGATAAGGCTTATTAAGATTATGAGATTTTAGTTAGGACAATATAAAAAAAATAGTTGTTGAGACAAATCGATGTAGACATATGGTTATGTTTTTATTATATTGTTATTAGTTATTATGTTTTTAGTAGACAAATTTGACTTCAAACGTGATCTAAACATTTATTCTACGATTATGATAATATCAGTTAACTGCTATTAGTTAGTATGGTTCATTAGATAAATCTGAAATATAACTGGATTTAAGATTTAAGCGACCATGATAGATAAACAAAACATCAATATGGCTACTTTTGGCTAGTTTTAATTCACTGGCTGTTGATTATTTTAGTTATGATTAGATAAAGGTTGAATCATACTCCTAGATTAGATAATTCTGCAACAATGAAGACAAATATCAGTACAGATTATGATGAAACTGTACTTTTTGGATCCATTTCTTCTACACTTGTCTCCAGAACAAAGTAGTTTCGTCCAGAATTTCTAGGACCTGATATAGTCTTCCGATTTTTTTCGTTATCTTTTTTTCTGTATTCCGTTATTTATTGATTTGTTTACCTCTCTTTTCTTAGAAAGGGAGACGGCTTAATCGTATGACGTCAGATATCGACCGAAATTGGACCTTATAAACCGTATATCTTTCAGATGGCGTCTATTTGACGATTGGGGCAATATAACGAATGTATTTTGTTATTGAATATCGGATGAACTTGGATGCTAAGTCACTGGTATTGCAGGTTTATAGAAGATCCATTGATAAGCACGTATTCCAATATATATTTGTATTCACTTATCCATTTCCAGAAGGCTTCACACTCAATTAATTACTTTACTCTCATTTTTACTTTGTTTCTCATCAAGAGGTGCATCATAATTCTTAAACGATACGAACTGCAGCAAGAAAATAATCCGTTACAAGACATAGCCAAAAATATCTTTTTATTCGAGGTTAGCGTAAACGATCATCAACAAAGGTATTATTATTTATTTAGTACAAGAATGAAAGGATGAACCGATCTAATCGTTTTGAAAAGCAAAATCAAACTGAGTCACTCGCCAATTGAAGCAAGACCGGTTGGAACTCGATTAAAGGGTGTCATTGATTATGTAAACATTTGTGTGTGTGTACGTGCGTGTGTGTGTGTGTGTGTGTGTGCAAAGGTACATACATATCAATAAATGAATAGTATAGAAATCAATAAATCTATAGATAAATAAGTAAATATTTGTATTATACAGTTACTATCAGCACTGTTATTATTACTATTATCATTATCATGATTAATATATTTGTCATCATTCCTATTATCAGTTTTATTGTTATAATGATCCAGTAGTTCACTTAATCATTAATTAACGACCTCGCGAGGGAATAACATAGATCAGGCGCTCAAAGGTACCTATGATAGTTGTAGAATGAGGTTAAATTTGCCTGTCACGGATTAGCCTCTAATTTCACCTTGTCACTTGTTCTTCGCGCGCGCAATCGTCCGAATGTCTTGCCGCGTCCCTCTTTTCAAATAAGAGCCAATCAGAAAGCGTTATTAGTTTACAATATATACAGTACCTGTGTGAACTGTTCACTAATTGTACGAGAATAGTCAATTAACGCAAATATAGCCGTTCGGTCAAAAACGATATCATTTATTACCACTCAAGTTAAACTACGAGATTCGGATGCAGCTCTACAGTAATCATTATTATCATCATTTTCATAAAAGTATTTTGGGGTGTGTGAATGCCTTATTCAGTTTCTCTCATCATTTATTCAATACTCAATTTCTCTATCGTTTTATTTAGACTTCAGAGAATGGATATAAAAAGATATATCGATCATAACATTTTCCTTCCTTCCAGATATATTTCTTTTCTTATCGTTTTTATTTCGTATTTTTTCATAAAGCGTTTGTGTGATGAATTTGATGAGAAAGACGATAGTGATTGTAATGAGTGCTAGACCAGAATATAGTGATATAATGATACTAATAGTAATTACGAAGATGATTGTGATTATGATAATGATAATGGTGATTATAATGATAATAGTAAGAATTATAATAATGACTATAATAATAATAATAATAATAATAATAATAATAGTAATAATGATAATAATAATAATGATAATAATAATAATAATAATAATAATAATAATAGTAATAATGATAATAATAATAATGATAATAATAATAATAATAATAATAATAATAATGATAATAATAGTGATAATAATAATAATGATAATGATAATAATAATAATAATTATAATAATAATAATAATAATAATAATAATAATAATAATAATAATGATAATGATAATGATAATGATAATGATAATAATAATGATAATGATAATGAACTTAATAATGATAATGACGATAATGATAATAATCATTATTATTACTATCATCATTATTATTATATGATAATGATGATAATGACAATGACAGTGGTGATAACTAACTCCACAGAATGATGAAAAAGCAAATAGATGAAAAAATAAAAGAAATAAGTAAAACAAACGAAATAACCGCCAACCCAACTTAACCAATAATAATGTTAATAATGATGGCGATGATAATGGTGATAATAATGAAAAAGATAATAATAATAATGATAATAATAATAATAATGATAATGTGAGTGATAATAATGATATTCGGTGTGATAATAATTATGATAACGATAAAAACAACAACAGCAACAACAATGATAATAATAATAATAATGATAATAATAATAATAATAATAATAATAATAATAATAATAATAACGATGAAAATAATAATAACAACAACAACAATAACAATAAAAACAGCAAACTAACAATAACGCTACCCCCACCCCACCCCACACAAAAAAAACACCCCCCCCAAAAAAAAATATATTAATAATAATAAATAAATAAAATAAATAAATAAATAAACACACAACTCACTGGTTGGTGTTGAGAGCATCCGTGAGCCAAGCCCCGGCCAGCGCCACCTCGTCGACGCTGCCGTAGAACTGGTTGTAGAAGTGAGGGTGTTGTGTCCTGACGCTGTACCGCACGACCGTCTCCATAAAGGCTTCAGTTTGGGTCTGGTTCATGCCCTTTGGGTTGATGTCGAGTTGAAGGAGTGCCTGTGGGAGAGGAGAGGGAATTCCGGTGTGAGTTTGTGGTGTTTGTGATGTGTGTGTGTGTGTGTTTGTGATGTGTGTGTGTGTGTGTATTCAGTTCTCATTGTTTTGTTGTTGAAGGTATTGTTGTTATTATTATTATTACTATTATTATCATTATCATTATCATTATCATTATCATTATTATCATTATTATTATCATCATTATTACTATCATTATTATCATTATTATTATTACTGTAATTATCATTATCAATATCATCATTATTACTATCATTATTATCATCATTATTATTACTATTATTATCATTATCATTACTATTATTATTATTATCATTATTAGTATCATCATCTTCATAATTATTATCATTTCAAGTAATATTATTGTCATCATCATTACTTTTATTATTATCATTACTGTTATGATCATTGTCAATATTATCATTATCACTATCATTATTATCATTATTATTATTAGTGTTTTTATCATCATGATCTTATTTGTTATCATCATTGTTATCTTTTTATTAGTTTGATAGCTATCTATCTATCTAGCTCTATATATACATTGCCTTTATCTTATTTGTATGGGTTTTGGATAAGTACATACGTACATTAGTATGTGTATGTGTGTGTCCGTGTGTGTGTGTATGTATGTACACACGCACACACATACACACACACACA